GTAAGGTAAAGCATCTACAAAATGCACAAATAAATTATTGATTCTTTGGAAAATTGTTCTGTAATATGGACACAAACTATACAATAGCAATCAGGAAGGCTATTCATTTAAATAAGTATTGGCAACCCTTCATAAAGGATTAATGCTAATGGTTAGAAACCAAATTTATTCTAATGCATATTCTACATGTTATGTTTTCTTTCTTGCCAATTTAAAACTTGCTTAAAAAAAGACAATCTTGGCTATAAAAGCAATGTTTTGGAATGTGCTCCAATATGATTGATCTGTCCGTGTTCTTTTGGCAACGTAGCTAAAGTATTTTTGTCAAATTTTATGATTTTATATGATTTGAAGTAATAAAGCATGACAGCCTCAAATTGTTGACCTTAGAGAATTTTGTCTCTCTAAAAATGTATCACCATAACTGTATTACAAACCTTAATTGTGAAATTATTTTTTCAATTTTCCCAGATGTTTTTGCAATTTAAGCATACTTTGAGACTTGCTTTTTCCCATCTGTGCTTTCATTTTTATATTTACTTTCTTCAAGAATACATGCCAGCCAAAGTTTTACAGAAAAAATAGAATGTTTCACGAAAAAATCCCATGAAGAATCACTGAAGTGCTATCAGCTAACTATTCCTTCTTTAAAATCTGAATATATTAATACCTCTTTCCCTCTCCCCTGCAATTTCCTTAAAATAGGGTTCATGGATTGACTTACTCCCTCAAAAGCAGAATTTCTGAAGGAACAGGCATCGCCAATAGTCAGCTATTAGGTTTTGACAATTTGTCCAAAATAACCATCATGTAATCAAGGTTAATATATATCAACACAAGTCTTGTGTGCCGGCTATTAATTGAATTAAAAAGAGATTAAAAATTATCTTTCCTTAACTAGCCATGTGGCAAAGGAGACATCTGGTAAATAATCCCTGCTGCACCTTCAAAATTTGCGCAAAATATTGGAGAATACAGACATACTGTTCAAACCAAACTCACGGATGGGGACAGCAGCATTTAATTCCTGTGCCCTTCCCTCTTGTAAATGACCCAAGCTATTCTCCCCCCTTCAGAAATTCTGAGTGTGTTACTCCTTATAAAGGAAGGAGGCTCCTTGGCAGGAGCTGAAGAATAGTACTCTACAAAGAAGTGTGACACAAAGAACTGCAGTCTTGTAAAATGGATGCTAATCCTCAGTGTTGTTGATGAAGCTCAGCCTTGGCTGCCTTAACTGGGGTTTGAATTGAAAACATTCTTCCACCTCCCTCTCAGGGAAACCCAAGGGCCTCGTCTTCCAAGAGTATGCAATGGGAACATGTTCTCCTCTCTCTAAGGTCAGTGGGAGATGATGGGCATTTTGGATAAAAGTAATGCTTTTATTCATCTTTGAAGAAAGATGAAAGTAAGCACCTGCCAGTAAAAAAAAAAAAAAAAAAAAGGAGTAATTGTAAAAAGTTCTACTTTCTACAATTTTGCATTGTATGATGAAGAGGGAGGGGAATATAAGCAAAGAGGGATGAGTGTGTATCTTGGTTCAGGTCAGGAAAAGAGATTTTATGCTGTGTACATGGAGAGAATGCACAAAAGTGAGAGACAATTAGTAAATGTGAAGGAGAGAATAGAAGGGGTTTATGTAATAATGCTTTGTAGGATTTTTAGGGAAAAAAGAAACCCACAAGACGCTCTAGAGCCACTTAATAGGTCAGTATCATTTTGAGGCTTCATGTTGCTTTAAATTAGAATAAATGAGCCATATCATGAAACTGGCTTTAAATCTTAAAAATAAATCCTTTTTGATGTTCATATTTCATGCTTTCAAGTAAGCACAAATACTGTATTCCCTACGTTACTTATTTAATATTTTAAAATTGAAAAGCAGATGTGAAGAAGACAAACTGTTCAACTAGAGTCAAGAGAATACTTCAGTGATTTAGAATACATCACATGAATATTACTTGAAAGACCTTAGATACTTGGAGATAAACTTATACTTACAGATATTCAAATAAGATAAATTATGAAAATGCAGATCTGTGTGTCCAAACAAAACTGTTTTCTAAGGTTGCAAGCACAGTGACAAGGGATATAAAAATCTGGCAGCCAGAACCACCAGATGCCTTAAATTGTAATCACAGGTTTTGTGTACTGTAATCAGAGCAACCTTACAGCTGTGTGTTTTAACTGGGCAATTGCCTAAGCCTACCGTAAAATGTTTACCTTACCTTTAAGCCCAGAATGAACTAATTTTCTAGTAGTGTGTTTTGGAATAACTCAGTGATAACATTTTCAAAGAAGTCATGCAGTTCTGTAATCCTGTTTGCAGAGATGAGTTTGCTCAGATTCTCATTCAGATCTCTCTCTGGTCCAAGTAACCAACCTTGAAGAATGAGGTTTAATATCCACGGTTATTTTATGAAATAATCAAAGGTCTTGATCAATCTTTCTTTGTTCATCTATTTATTGCCTTCTTCCTTTTTTTGTGGGGCTTTTTTCTAAATTAAAGACGATGTAATATTTTCAATGCTTTCTCATATGGTAGCTCTGATACCTGACATGTCTCACTCCTTTTTTTTTCCTCTGTATGTTCTTCTTTTTTTTTTTTTCCCTATATCCCTTCTAACTGCAGATGTGCATTGAGTCTGCCAGGCGAGGCCATATCATTGATCTTTGCAAAAGCATTACAGTACTAGACTGTGGTACTGAGGCAAATAAAATGCATTCTGGACATCTCCATTTTCTTTTAACAGAGCTGCATCTGAGCAAAGGTCTTTTCCAAGTTGTCTATAGTGATGTCCAGTTCTCCAGCTTCAGTTGCTAAAGTTAATTTGGACTCATGAATAGTTTAATCCCCAGATGTCTAGCCTTTTCAGAGGGACACATTAATTGTTGTTCTCAGTCTTCATGGAGCGTCATCTAACTTTAGTGAAAAATTTATCATTTTTATCTATATAAAAGTCTTCAGAATTTTGCATATCTCCTTGGACTATGGTGCACTAAACATCATCTTGCACTGCTTTTAAAATGAAATTATCACTATACTCTGATGTCTCATAGCCTAACCATCAAGGACCAAGGATGTCTTACAATTACTACACAATTAAAAGCCGACCTAAAAGATGTCACCGAAGTTTAAAAAAAATTCAGCTTGTGTGGTCAAATTAGATTTGTCTATTGGTGAGAAATATCCAGGAGCAAAAGCAAACATTTAAGAACTGGTGCTGTGAATAGGGAACAACTCTAATTGCCATAGCGTGATGGCGATCGAAGACAACCATGTTAAATTATCATACCAAAACCCAGTTGATTATATCCTTACTTTTAGTATGCAGAAAGGTTAATACACAAGGACCATCTAATGGCTGTCTAAAGGCTAGTTTTAAATCCTTGTGGTACACCTGAGAAGTAAGTACACTTATGCAGCAGTATAGTAGATGTGGGTCAAAGCTTGTGCCAGATCTGAAATCTGTTGTGCATTGCAGTTCACCAGCTGGATGGGGAGAATGGAATGAACAAACACTACTTTGAAAGTTTGGTCATACTAGAAAAAGAGAAATAATGTTTACTTCAAACTAAGAATATGCTTCCAGTTTTAGAAGTTTTAACTTCTTAATACACCCTGTTTTCTTCATTTGCCACTTTTAAAAACCAACTCTGTGAAGTCAGGAAAAAAAAAATCCAGTCCTTACTCAAGTAATATTGAAGGGGGAAACATTCCAAGCTGATAGATCTGCCAGTTGATTTTTAGCTAGTCAGAAGTGGAATGGCTATATCCGAACAGTGGTTTGATAGAACATTAAATCATATTAAATAGATATTAAATCACTAATACGGAAAGTAGCCATGCAATAATGTTCAAAGCTCCTCCTCACTACAAGCCACTATTCATATCAAGATAGCATTATCAAAATAATATTTTAAAAAACTCAAGATATCAACCTGTTTTATCATTTTTTATAGATTAGGAATTGGTAATGTTTTATAACTTGTGCTTAATGACACTAGCTATTTGTTAGTAGCTTGTATCCTCTTTGTAGGTACAGCATGAAGCTCAAAAATTATTATGGTTCTTTTGCTAGAACAACATTGGAGCGAAGTAGAAGTTTGATTCTAGAAATTTTTCCAGTCAATGAAAAAAAGAAATCATGTGTCCTGGATTTTTTAGAGTTCAAACAAGCTATGATTCATGAAAGAAATATGAAATATTTGTAAAGTTCCTAAGAAAATTATATTAAAGAAGCATGGAGAAAAATCAGACTGCTTTTGGATAATCCAGTCATGTGGAAAGACTTCATGGAAAGTTACTTGAATTTTCTCCTTGCTACTTATTTTCTCCTTGCTTTCCTTGAAAGCAGTGTACCCTGTTATAAAATGACTACCAAAAAAGCCTTATTAGACACAGAAATGACTTCAGAATCAAGTATTTGAAACAGTTTTTGCATTCCTAAATATTAAGCATTTAAAGTATTTATAGGCTTTCCTACTGTTTCGTGTATTTATTTGAAATTCTCTCTGATAAAAATGCACACATAACAGTGTTAAGTGACATCTGACCTCTTCTCTGACTTCTAGTCATGTGATGAAAAATGCTTCTAAAAGTATTTAAGTCTAGATACAGGAAGATGACTAAACTCCTAAGCTTTTGTCTTCTAAAAAATTCTCATCGCTGCCAAAGCTGGTGAAGCTTCTCTGATGGTTGCAATGGTGGGAGCACTAAGGCAGAAAAGCTTTCAAGGGCTCACAAGCATTCTCACCACTGCACCTTCTACCTACCTCCTGCAAATCTCTGTTCCCGCCTTTAGAAAATGGGTGGCCACACATTCCTTGTCACGTTTGCCCTTCCTCTCACAGAGGTTAACATTGGGAAACTTCACATAAATGCATAACAGACAAGGACAAGGAACAAATTTGTTTAGCAAGGCAGCCAGCAGGCTTACTGTACTAACCCCCCTTCCAACATTTAAAGAATGCAACTATCTTCTCTTTCCTTTCCCATGTAGCTTGAGAATTACATCCAAGACAGTATGAAGAAAGAAATGGTAGAGATCCAGCAAACTGCAGTGCAGAACCAGACAGCAGTAATGATTGAAATAGGCACAAACTTACTAAATCAAACAGCTGAACAGACCCGCAAATTAACAGATGTTGAAGCACAAGTAAGTAATGAATTTCAACCTAAAAATGCTTCTACTTCCCAAACACAATTATACACTTAACACAGTTTAGTGTTACACTATTCAGTCCAACAATGAGAAGTCAATCATTATAATCAACAGATCTACCCACCTGAAGGAAACATTAGCATTTGGCAATACATAGTTCCATCTCAAGCCCACTGTTGTTACCTGAAAGACTTCCACTACAGCAGGATTTGAATTATGTTTGGCAAGACAACTGTTACATTCATCTTTAAAGATAATATACTTAAAACCACTATATTATATCCAGTCATCAGTTGGGTACTACTGTGCATTGATACAACTCTCGTTGTGTATCTCTGTTGGTTATTCACCTCTCACCACCAGATCTTAGCTAATAGAGAGTTCCTTCAAACTGCCTTTGTTCCATTTTCCAGGCTAATTGCTTTCTCACATTTAAAATTTCTTTTTTATTTTTTAAAACTTATTATCAAGAAAAATGCGTCTTTTAAATTAATGTTTTCACAGATGCTGTAAGTGCAATAACTGTATTTCCAGCACAATGCACTATATTATTGTTACTTAACAGAGGGATAAATAAACGAATCAGAGCTGAATCCAGAAAAAAGGAATTAGGAGGAGGCTACTAGAAAAGTATACTCATACAGAAGTAAACTTGCCTAGGGTATATATTATTCTCTAAATTATTTCAAACAAAAAATAAGTAATGGGTTTATCTTTAATTACTGCTTTAATTGAAAAGCATTAACTACAGTAAGACATTCTATGAAACAGAATGCAGATTTTAATACAAGAACAAGTCCAATCAATGTAGAATGGTCTGCATTTGTAGTTTTGCTAGCATGGTAGGAAAATTCAGATACATAATTGCCAAAACAAATAATGGCTATAGGATGCAGCACATAACATTTTCTGTAATGTAAATAGTGTGCAAAACGTAAAATTCATGTTAGAAATCTTATTATCTGTACAATTCATCCAATGAATTAAATTATGCTTTTTAACCTAAAACAAGCCTTTGTGAACTCTTTGATAAATTGATAGTTCATAGCTCACAGGCGTACTGTATTCAACTTTCCCATTGCATTATTCAGGAGCCCAGTATTTTGCACATGTTGAGAGAATGTATTTATTCATTCAGTGTAATGTTTTTATGGAAATTATTCAATTATTTTCTGCTTAGAGGAAGAAAATCATCACTGCAACTTTCCTTCTCTGCTTGAAATTACTGGTGACTGGGGTAAGGGCTTAATTAACAACATAAGGAAATTAACCAAACAATTGCTCTCTCAAGGACACTTACTTTGGCAATAGTTTTCTATTACACTTAAGTGTGAAATCATGTCCTGAATGACTGTTTAACATGAAGGACATGAGTAATCAATTCTTCCTGCCAAGGAAAGCCAAATTCTGCTGAATTAAAAAAAGCTGCTCTAAAACAATGATAAAATATTTCTAGAAAACATGCCTCAAAATAATGCAATCCGATACAAACCGAAAAGTATCTTTCATGTTTCCCAATATCTGCATTTCTTCATTTAAAGATGCAAATAAAAGTAGACCGTAAACAATACATATAGAAAAGGTAACAATAAAATGCAAGGAATGAATCAATGGAAGTACTGTTTACATGATAAAATGTAAAAACTTTAAAGGTGATTTCAGGACTGGGCCAAGATTTCAACCAGTGAGAGATACTCAAAATACTTTCTTTCTATACCAGATTGAGAAAACAAATTCTCTGAGCAACAATCGTAACAGTTCCAGTAATGAAATACAGAGTATTTCCGATAATGAAATATCATAACAGAGGGGGAAGTATGACAGCAAAACTAAAGTACACAGTAACTTTCAGCCATTGATCAGAAATGCAGCATACTACTGAAATACTTCCAATGACATATGGTAGTGTATCAACAAAATTAGCGCAACTCTGTGTATTCTTCTTCATTCTAATTATATGAGCATTTGTGCCCAAACTATGTGTTTAAAATTTTGTTTTTTTTTAATTATAGGCTTAAGTAGAGATCTGCATGATTTCACAACATGAAGAAATTGCAATTTATTTAAAAGAAGTATCTTGATTTTCAAATATTTTTATAAAATTTATTTAGGTATTAAACCAGACAACAAGACTTGAACTTCAGCTTTTGGAACACTCTCTTTCAACAAACAAACTAGAAAGACAGATTTCAGATCAGACCAACGAGATAACTAAATTACAGGAAAAAAACAGGTAAGTTTGCCTATCAGCCCAATAAAATGCTGTTCCCTAAAGTGCCCTTCTAAAGGTTTTAGAAACAAATGTGCTCAAGTAAGAAAATAAGGCCTTGTACAGTAGGTCCCCACACCAAGCTATGCTCATTACAAAGGTCAGATATTATTTAAGGCCTAGGGAATCATGCAGGTTTATTCTTCTCGTGTTCTGTTTATATATCATTCTTCAGTATCTAAAGTTCTCCTTTATATGAGGAACTTAAGGTTAAAACTGAAATACTTCTCAGTACTTTAGTTGTAGCCAATTTATATTCTTCTTTAGACTTAATCAAATGAAGTTATGGATTATGTAACCTGTTTCAAACTAATCCAGTGCAACTACATCTCTAAAATTTTATTTCCATATAGTACACAGCTGCCCTGTGACAATCAGGTCATTGACATAATTTTTTTCTAACCTGGTGGGGAAAGTCAAATGCCACTCATATTTAATGTTTGTTACTAGTCAATCTTTTGAAATTCAGATCAATATCCAACTATTACTCCTATCTGTTTCTATACCAGCTGTTGTCCAAAGACTCAAACTTTTTTTCAGCTAGTTTCATATCTCCAGGGTTTTATTTAGCTTTTGGCAATAAATAGTTTACAGCGAAATATAAAAGCAGCAATAACATTAAGTTTTCTCCTTCAAAGCCATGTTTTTCAATGAGAACCATATGTGCAAAGTGCTTTTTATTTTGAAAGAATTAGCTTAAAAAACCCAGGAGACATGTTTTGACATTTTTGTTCACTACTCTACAACATTTATATATGCTCCCTAAAGGTTTTATCTACCAGCGTAATAAAAACAAGCATCCTCATCACATGGAAAGCAAAGTAAATACCAAATTTTAAAGTGTCACTTTTTTTTGGTGTTGAACGTAGGAGACTTTAGACTACCCTTGTAAAACCCACATAAACACAAAAGCATTGTTTCTCACCTAACAAAAAACAGTCTGACATCTAGCTAATCTGCTTGAAACATAAAGTTCAGGTTTTTTTTTCCAATAACAATAGATTGTAGCTGAACTTCTCCCTTCTGGCCATGCATCTTTTAACATCAACTTTCTCAGAGTCTGCATCAGGATAATTACCAATTAAATAATGTTCCAGCCAGTCACCTATTCACACCAGCTTCAGAACTGGAGATGGGTAACACATCTTCGAGTAACTATTTGCACATTTTTCTGCCTTAATGCCATAACATTTATGTTAAGTATATATTTTATTATAATTACAGGACATTTGAAAGTTCATAGGTTCATCTTTAACAGGGTAAAACCAGGAAATCTTTCACTGTATCTTTCCTTTCATAATGTTTAATTTTGAAACATCCAATTGTTACACTTTAAAAGCCTGCAATACAGACTATAGTAGATAATGTTTATTAATGTACTAATATAATAAACTAAAGCATATGTATCAAACTAAACTCAGCTTTCATTTTGCCTTCTACTGCATGCATGGCATCAGAGAATGAAGTTGAGTACTTATGAAGAAAAACTTCTGCAACAGGCTTGATTCTCAAAATCATTTCTGGGGAGCCTAACTGTAATCTTTTATTTAGCTTTCTAGAAAAAAGAGTTCTTGAGATGGAAGACAAGCACACACTTCAGCTGAAGTCAATAAAAGATGAAAAAGATCAGCTTCAAGTCCTAGTAGCTAGACAGAATTCTATTATAGAAGAACTAGAAAAACAGTTAGTTACAGCTACAGTAAACAACTCAGTTTTGCAAAAACAGCAACATGATCTGATGGAGACTGTTCATAACTTGCTTACTATGATATCTACACCAAACTGTAAGTAAAGGCTGACATTCACTAACTGTGTACATTATTACCTATGAAGTCTCACAAATTGTTTTGCCACTCTTCTGCTTCTCAAAAAGGATTTTTTTTTTTTTTTTTTACTTTAAATTCTGCATCTGAGTTAATTAACCTATTTTTTTTTTAAGGGTGGTGTGGAACAACCACAACATATATGTGTTTTCTTGTCAACACTTTGTTCATCTTCTGTGGTTTATATTGGTTTGCCTGCCCACTTCTCCAGCGGTTCAAAAAAATACAGAGATGCCAAGTATCATTCGTCTCACGTGGCATTCATTCATCTGGCAATATACACTCCCTTGACCACGTATCTAGGTTAGACTGCGTGATGTAGGTCTGTAGCTGTTCTTCCTGGCTTGCAAAAGTTGCTTCTGCCACCTCTCATTGGTGTATGCACACAGAGTTGATCAAAGAAAGGACAAATGATAGTGGCTGTTAAAGTAATCAGCACTGACCCAGTTTTTAGCACTTATGTATGCCCCAAACAACAGAAAGCACTAGCCCAGGGCAGCAGGTACTCCCAAAAGTCCTCCAGTCTTTCACTGAGGCTTCCCTGTTCATCCTAAAAATTCCTCGGCCTAGCAAATTTTATAGGCAATAACCTCACCCCTAAATGCCTGACAGCCCTGCAACAAATCATAGCCACTGAGCATAGCTTTGAAATTTATGCAGATTCACATGCTCCATAAAAAAACCCACACAAACCATAAACTGAAACTTACGGCTAAACAGGATTTAAACAAATGAACAAATTCTTTACCTTGAATTTCATGTCTGATACGGAACTTTGACAAATTAAGAAAGTATAGCTGTTCTATATAAAAGAATAAAGATTCTGGCATGTTTGCCTGTAAAGTTCTCAGGGCTGGAAATACACACTCATACAGAACCTCTAAAAAAAGGATTTAAAATTAAATAGCAGAAACATTTAAAAATAGTTATCATTACAACTGAAAAGACAGTCTAGATGGGACTATTCTACAATACAGTAAGTTGGATCACAAAAAAGGAAAAGTGTGTTTGGAAGTCCTCGCTTTCAGTAGTGTCCTAAGTAATATTATGGTGTAGGTTTTTTCTAAACAAAGTAAATCCTAAGTTTTTTGTCTTAATTTACACTATCCCCTTAAATACCATAACCAAGGCTGTACATGTTCCTGCTGATGTTATCTGCTATGCTAGTGCACAAATAAGTAAACAAGTCAAAGTCATGTTGGCTACAACACTGTTAAACCCAGAGTGGAAAAAATAATGAATGTCTGCCAAAAAGACAAAATTAGCAGGGAAAGCTTCTAAGACAGTATACAAACAATAGAGTGTGGAAAAGCAATTAAAACACTGAATGTGTTATTTTTATATTTAAGGCAAAGCATGTAAACAGGTAAGTAATGAATAAGCGAGCTAAAAAGAACATAATAAGTAACTGTAATATAAGCATGTATTTATATGGCACCTAAAACTTTGTACTGTTTGGCTGTGCTTGTTAGATTAAATTAAAAGGGAAAATACACAGAACCAACCCCAAAAGGGTCAAATATGAAATATCAGTCAGCAGGCGAAATGCCAGGAAATTCCAACCTCCATAGTTAATAAAGAGCTGAACAAAAAGATGAGCCTTAGATTGTTCTGTAAAATAAGAAGGCTTAGGCATATTAAAATGTATTTTTTACACAAATGAATTCCAGAAGGGATGTTTCCTTAGTGGGTTGATCTGAGCTACCAAGCTTCAGCTTGGTACATACAGAGTTGTTCCTGCTCAGCACAGGGACAAAAAAATCTAGCTAAAACTTTGTAAGAATAGTTATTCCAGTCAGCTGTATTATAAAAGATTTCATAAATCTTACTTTAGATTTCACAATATTAGAGTACTGGCCAAAGGTCATTATTAATATAATCAGTTGCTAGTTACATATTTTTGTAATAATAGTTAATGCATGCAGAGGTTATAATGCATGAAGGAGTCCAGGAAAGGCAATGAATGGAAGCAGAAACTGTTCAACTGAATGAGATGCTATATCGTGTTTTCTTATTCAACACAGAAAGCGTTAACAGTTTTCAACCTGTCGAGCAACCACATCTCTAAATATCCAGAAAAATATCTCTAAATAATATAAAGTAACAAAACACATAATTAATACCTTGATCAATCATTTATTTCAGGACCAGGCATATTTTTCAGAACTGCAAAGCTTTAAGCTCATTACATCATTAGTTGCTTCTTAGTAACTTTTATTTATCTCCTCTTAATGCTTTCAATTTCTATTGTATTTTTAACAGCTAAGAACAACTTCATAGCTAAAGAGGAGCAAATCAGCTTCAAAGACTGTGCTGAAGCTTTCAAATCTGGACTGACAACAAGTGGAATCTATACTTTAACAGTTTCAAACACTGTACAAGAAAAGAAGGTAGGATGGCTAAAGTGCTACCTAGGCATACTGTGTTTTAAAAAGTTATTTCATCTGGTAAATATGCTATTTTTAAAGGCTAGTTAATAGTGAAGTTTATGAATTATCACTTTTTTTCTGAGCATTTCATCACTTACAGATCTGAGTATGTCATAGGAAGAAGAAAATCCTTTAGGTGAAATCTTTGCTCAGTTAAAATGAATGAGCATTCTGTTGTTCACTTCAGCATGCCAGAGTTTCATTCTTTGTTTCCACATAATTAAAGCAAGTAAAGCAATATAATACTGTAATGTCTTTATAAAAATCCCTAACACAATTGCTCTGCATGATGAGCAATCTCCTGTCTCCTGTGAATTCTCAGTTCCTTCATAAGCCCAAGTCCCTTCAGGTGGCAAAAGGAGGTAAAATCGAGGTAAAATCATTGGAAGAATACTCATGGATGCATATCGATGTAAGCAATCTACTAGTACTGGACTCCTGTATGGGTTCCAGTTCTTTGTTATGCAGAGTTTTAAGGACATTGGTGTAACAATTAGATCTGCACAACTGACACTGGGTAACAGAGAGGACTTTCCTGGAAAATACTGCTCTGATTTAAATAAAAGGTGAGAGTTTGCAGCGGTTTCACTAGCTCAGTTTAAATTCCTCTGTGGATATTTTTTTCCCCTTATGTGTTTAGCCTAAGTGAACTTCAATGTCAATTTAAGTAAAAGCAATACACCATACCTCTATAGAAGAGACCTTAAGAAGAGTGCCTAAAAATGGCACTCAGTGGATGAAATACTAAATGCCTGACAGAGATGCTTGTTCCATCTACTGAAATAAATAAAATTATAAAGCTTCAGATAGTATAATTCAGCTGAAGCAATCAATAAAATCTGAAAGGGAGAAAAGCCCCAGGTGGATTGTGAGGATGAAGAACCAAAAACTTCAGTGAGCATTCTGAGTGGGGCTCAAATGATGAACATTCGTTTCCAATTTTTCAGACACAGCAGGCTGAGGAGGCAAAGGGACATTTGAATATATATATAAAAAAAAGCTTAATATATTTCTTTGACAAACAGTAAATAATTTTTTAATGTTTTTAGTTTATAATTTCATATTGAAGATATTTCCTTACGAAAAAGGAAGTATTTTATGGAATTCCTCAGGCTCTACTTTATTATATCAGAAATACGTGGGAAGAAAAACCTAACAGAAAATGTACAAAAGCAGAAAACAATCAGGGTACATGTGGAAAAGCAATTGGTAAAACTCTGACAGAGAAAGCATTTTTTTTCCTCAAGTTTGGATAGCAAAGGTTTAGAAATCAAATTCAGCACTGACTAGTCTTTGAAGTGCCAGAACATCATGTTGCCCTTGATCCTTACTCTTACAAAGTTCTCAGTTAAAGGAAATAAGCAATTTGTTTGGGTAAGATCTATAAAATACAACACATAAAGCCTGCAATTTTTTCAAATGTCATGTAGAGAAATGATGATAACCTGCAGTGTGCTTCTCTTGGGGGGAAAAAAAAAACAACAAAAAAAAGCGGCTGGTTTTCCTCTGGAGTAGTCTAGTCTATATTCAATACATCTGTTTCAGAAGAAAATTAGTTACATAAGATGCAATAAAGTGTTTAATTGCACATGAAACAGAATGGTATTTAAATAGCATAGGTATCTACAATCACAATTTTAAGCGCCAAAGGAGATGCAAGCTACTGCATCTCTAATGTAATATATTGCAGCAGTCTTTGTTAGACATCTCAGGAAGGGTTACACTCCTTGAATCTCTTAATATTACTTGTCTCAAGCTTCTACATTTGGTTTTAATATTACTATCAAATATAATAAACAGAGCATGCATATTTTCTAAAAGTGCATGCAATATTACAGAATGAAAACTTCTGTCATAAAATTTTACACTGCATTTTCAAAGCCATAAACGTTTATGGCAGTCTATATGATCTGAGAAGCCAGAGTAACACACAGGTCTACAAAACTGAAACTTACCAAAATACTCCATCCCTGAAACAAAACTACAATTGCAAATTTAATTGCAATATAAAATACTAAATGCTTTACATTTGAACATGGAGGTTTAAAACACTTAACAAAAATACACATTTTTGCCAATTGATTAGGTTAAAAAAAGTAGTTAAAATGTAATAATTTAAATTGGTTATCAATCTAGCAATAATAATAAAGAATTGTAATCCTATTCTTCCCACTTCAGATAGAATGAAAAGACACTTAAAAAGACAGCAAAGGTTTTCCTTACTGTATGACATGAAAAATAAGAGACTAAAAAATTCTAATCTGATGCAGCTTTTTATACAAATATAGACGCATAAGAGTAGTTGTCAAGGGAAGTGAAGGTTTAGGGATAATCAACACGTTACACCATTTTCAACTGTTTATGATGTGGATGGCCACTCGGACCAGGAAACAGAATGACCTTTTTTATTTGCCAAAAGTGCTGCACTGCTGTTTATGTTTTTGTCTTTTCCTCTTATAACACCTTCTGACCTCCCAACAGGCTTATAAACAACTTCTGTGTAATCTGTAACTGATCCCACTTTACTAATTTTTCTCCCATCATAATCTAAAACTAAAGAATTGCATTTGAGAGCTGAGAGGAAAACAATTATTTCATTCCATTGATATTTTCAAGCTTTCAAGCTTTCCTGTTCTGCACCAGGACAAAAGCTAAGTCCTTTTAAAAACACTGAGGAAAAACAGCAAAAGACTGCTGACACAAGGAAAAATGGCAAGAGAGAAATCCATGAAAAGTCAATAACTTCATGTTTACAGCAGTCACCTGAACCAATTAACCTCCTGGTCTTAACCAGACAGCATAGTTGAGTCTGGGTGACACTAATATATTAGTTCAACTGTTACCACAATTATTACCAACATATTACCCCAAATCTTAAAAGAGTGGCTGAAGCAGTGGCTAAACTCTTACACATTTCCACCCTTGTTGAACTGAATTTTAATCCCAGAACTGACACACATTCCAACTCATGGCCTTTTTAACCAAAACTCTCTTGCAAAAAGTGATTTGGGCAAGTTTATATTACCAACAAAATGGTGTTGCATAACTTTCCTAAAAAGTGATCATCCAGACAACTACGAAGTCATTTCAGAAGGAGCCTATGCCATGGACCATACATCTAAAATACACATACACAAATTGCTTCCAACCCCAAGCATTAAAAAAAGAGCATATGTGTAGCTTAATGGTATTAGGTTAAATTATATTATAAACCATGCATGTAGTTATTTTTTCCAGAACAAGGAAACTAAGACCACAATTCTTATCTAGTCACATCTGTAGGAGCTAGAGATAGCAGAATACAAAATCATTGAGAACTGTGATTCAAAAGTGTTCAGAAAACAGCCAAAAGTGATGCAAAAGGACACTGCACAAATGTGGCAACTGTACCTGCTTTAATATAAAAACTGTAGTGGGTCTTCATCCTAATAACTCAGCCAGAGCCTTACCATTCAGAAAGTAGGCCTGAAAACATACATACCCCAAATATCCTAATGTACAAGAAGAAAGAAGAAAAATTACTTGCTCTGAAAGTCAACTTCCAAGACAGTGAAGACATTGAGTTGTCTGTTTACAGTTTATGTGCCTGTCATCTTTGGAAAAGGGACTACTCGTGGTTACACATACATTACAGCATTTTCAAAAATACAGCACTAATCCTTGGAATTATAGAATACGAGGTTGGAAGGGACCTCAAGGATTATTTGGTCCAGCTGTTCTTGGCCTAAGCATGGTCTAGACAAGATGGCCCAGCACCCCCTCCAGCTGAAATTTAAAAATGTCCAAAGCTGGGGAATCCACCACTTCCCTGGAGAGATTATTCCAGTGGCTGATTGTTCTTGTGAAAAATTTTCCTCTTGTGTCCAATCGGAATGTCCCCAGAATTAACTTGTACCCATTACCCCATATCTTTTCCATGTGACTCCTTGTAAAAAGCAAGTCTCCATCTTCTTTGTAGCCACCCTTTAAATAGTGAAAAATTGTGATAAAGTCTCCCCTAAGTCTTCTCCTCTCAAGGCAGAACAAACCCAATTCTCTCAGCCTTTCCTCACCTGGCAGGCTTCCCAGTCCCTTGATCATCTTTGCGGCCCTCCTCTGGACCCTCTCCAGCGTGTCCACATCTTTTTTGTATAGCAGGGACCAAAACTGAACACAGAATTCCAGATGTGGCCTGACAAGTGCTGAGTAGAGTGGGACAATAACTTCTTTATCTCTGCTGGTGATGCCACCCAGCATCCCGTAGGTTTTCTCTGCTGCTGCAGCTCACTGTTCTCTCATACCGAGCTTGTTGTCCACCAGGACCCCCAGGTCCGTTTTCACAGAGCTGCTCCCCAGCTGGGTAGATCCCAGCCTGTGCTGCACTCCTGGATTATGATTTCCCAGGTGCAAGGCCTTATATTTGTCCTTGCTGAACTTCCCAAGGTTCTTGTTAGCCCACTCTTCCAACCTATCCAGGTCTTCCTGCAGGGTGGCTCCCCCCACCAAAGTGTCCACTTCCCCACTCAGTTTGGTATCATCAGCAACCTTCATCAGGGTGCACTTGATCCCATCAGCCAGATCACTTATGAATACAGCATTGGGCCCAATACTTATCCCTTGGGCAGTTGTGACAGGTTGCCAGTTTGAAAAAGAGCTATTTACCACCACCTTTAGCTAATGGTGAAAAATATAAACATCTGACCTTACCTCTCACAGTGTTACAGCTGCTAGAACTGTAAGTACTGAAGCAGTTCACAAGATAAACCAAATATTCCCCCTGCCAATTTGTTGTAATTTGAGAGGCTAATCTCTTTATTCTTTTTGGCATCTGTTTGAAGACTCCTGCTGCCTGCCTAATCTTGGTATCTACTTTTACTAGTTTTAAAAAATGCTACATTTCTTCCTTTTGAATATAAAACCTAGGCTAAGCTGAAAGGTTGCAAGAGTTCTGTTCTAGAAATAAGTGTTAGGGAAAGCCTCATATGCATATCATTTTACTGGAGAATGAAGATTATTTTTTTTTTAAATAAATTATAGTCCAAATAAATGCTTCCTCTCCCCTCATCTTTCAAATACATCATGAACAAATGGTTCCCTTTGCAGACTGACACTGCAATTTATTGTGTTTAAACTAAGCAAGTCCTTTTCTTAATCTTAATTGTACTGAATAGACTATATCCAATCTTAAAATTACTTATGAATATACATAATTCACTGAAGTTGATCTATTTTTATTACTTTTAATGAAATAAGTATTTTTAGTAACTTTTGTTTCTGTAATCTTTAATGCCATTTTTCTTCACTGGCTTTATTTTTTCCAAAATTAAAAATCAAGTTTGTATGTAAATTTGAAGTTCCTAGTTTTACAGTAAGTAATCTTGTTACCAGGTTACATCTTGTTTAGTCAGAGAATTGATTTCTAGGGAGATGATCTGGAAAGCAAAGGAAATATTTAATGAGCAAATCTGCATATGTGAGGGCTTGAAAGACAGGGTTCTGGATTGCCAGTCAAACCTGAAATCAAAACATTGCATTGTATGATGCTTACTTAATAGGTGATAGAAATAATTTTCACTTTTTAGCTAGTTCAGGGGAGCAAGTGTGCAACCATGAAATACAGAAGTTAGAAACCGTATACTGAAATCTCAAACAGCAATAATCTTCTCATCTGTTAAAAGTTACTATGACACTAGAAGATTATGTAACCAGTACATTAGCTTTGCCCATGCCACACTTTCCACCCAAGAAAGGAAAGGATTTCCCTTTCCAAGGCCATAAAATTGGCATCTTTTAGATTGACGTGAAATTTTTTGGTGTGGAAAAATCATACTCCTAAAATTACTTAAACTTAATGAAATCATTACTGGTAAGAAAAATCTACATTAGATTTTTATGGACTTCTTCAATTTCTTATTATGTTTCAGTTCCTAGTAAATTGCTTCTGCCTTTGGGAACAAATTTGCAGTACCCCAGCATTTATCCCAAAGAGTCCATAGTGTTTATAAAAGCTAGTTGTCTTACCACTCACATACAAAATGGATACTGGCTGTAATAGGAATATTTTATGTAACACATTCACAGTCATTTGCTGTTTGAGAATATTTTAATCTCATTAGAACTAAATAAAGTGCTATTTTAAGGCATTTATATTTTCAAAGTAATAATTCCAGCTGAATTGAAATTTAGATGATAGGCATCAAAGAAATTGCCTATAACATTCAAAACCAAAAATTAACATGTACAATAGCAGTATCAGCCTAGACTGGTGGCCCGTGTAAATTAATATCTGGCCTCTGTAAGCAGTTAAAAACTGTGTGTTTCAGCGAAACATGAACCAGTTCTGTTCTGTCTGGCTGCTTATTCTGTCCTTTCAGTGGGGTGAAGCTTCAGAGTCAAAAACTTTCTGTTCAGCCAGTGATACCTGACCACTGTTAAATCAGCATTTTAACTTGTAGTGATGCGTAATGAAAGTATCTGCATCTGCTTAAGCCCATCCCTAGTAAACTTCTTCATAGCATCCTGTGGAAATTAATTTTCACATATGCATTACATGTCTCATGAGTTAGCTTTCTAAAACTGATCATCTCAATTAAATTCCATTCACATGACATACTTTTAACAAGTAAACCCTAAAACAACTCTTCTCCTTACTCCTTTTATATTCCCTAAAAATCTCCAGTTGAATGTCTCCTAATTCTGTGATGTTGAACAAAGAGTTTAGATACAGCCTTAAAATATAGTATCTGCTTTGGATTTCCAATGTGTTACAGCCTATTAAAAATGTTTAATATTTGAAGGTCTAAGGGCTTGCTTTCCCTTAAAAGTCTGATGCCTTTGAAAAGTATATATGCCACTGCTTGCACTGTAAATACCCTGTTTGATTTATATAAATACATGTGTGTGTATGTGTAACATACATACAATACCCATACACAGAAATACATGCATACCCGAAAAGAGCCAACTGTATTGAAATCTTATTTAGGAGCACACTTGAAGTCATACTTTTTCAATGAATTTCCAGGATGTCTAATAGTTCAAAGAACTTAAATCTGCTAACTGCTAACACTGGTAAGACAGTCTCCCCTAGAAGAGGATGAAAAAACCATACAGATTCAGTGTCACTCGGTTAGAATTTGGGGCGTTTATAGGCATATTATGACAAGCAGCAGTAATAAGTTAGGTAAGAAGGAAGACCACTGAGAGATTATTTAAACAAAGAAGGAAACATTCAAATCCAGAATGAAATGCTTAGGTCTAGGTGTTTTTTTTTTTTTGTTTTGTTTTGTTTGTTTGTTTGTTTGTTTTTTTATTTATTTATTTTTATTTTTATTATTCTTTTTTTTGTGTGTGTGTGTTTTTTTGTTTTGTTTTGTTTTTTGCTTGCTTTTTTTTTGTTTGTTTGTTTTTTTTTTTTTTTAATTTAGCTGTACAGATGAAGTATCCTATCAAAGTGTACAAAGTCAAATATTGGCTCTGTTACTGTAAATGGGAAGATGCAACTTCACTTAATTGATGAAAGATGTAGAATATACATTAGAAATTAATGTAGTTTAATACTCAAACTGTAATTTCAAAACTTTTCAAAGATGTGAAATAATTCTGAAGAGGACTCAGAATTGCAGTATCTTGGCAGAAAATGGTAAAAAAAAAAAAAATAATCAAACTTCCACATGAGAGAGCCTAGAACATTAACTGTGAGCTCTCCAAACAGGAATACTTGTACAAGAAATGTATGATTTTTCTTAAAGCTAGTATCAGTACTAACGTGCAATTTAAATAGATATTGATTTCAGTTTGATGTTCACTATATTGTTTTACACCAGCTTATCTCCACTGATTTCACACATCTACTTTTGAGTTCTGCTAGTTTTAGGAAAGCAGAATTCGATGCAACAATTTAAAAATCCTTTCTCAAGAAAAATGGTCCTAAATATTCACATATTCACAAGACTTGTTAATTTATTCCCTATTTCTCTCAAACATCACTCCAAAATTCCCTCAAGATTTTTTTTCATCAGCATGTCCCCAGTATATTGACACCTTCAGTAATACCTTTTATCTCTGACATTGCAGTGAACATATACCAGAATTCTATTTAACTCAGTTACTTTCTATTTTAATCTAGAAGGAGATTGACTGAACAAGTCACCTATAAACTTGAATTTTACTGCACCAGGGATGCATTTATTGGGTATTCTAAAACTGAGCTCAGTGAACAGCCTATTACATGTCAATCCTTTCAAATGGTTAGCAATAACTTGGTAAAATTGAAAATGATTTATGAATAAGTGGAAACATCTTATAGTTAGGACTTTTTCTAGAATATAAAATATTAATTGCAGTTTGCATAATAACATGGCTTCAAAATTTAACTTTAAGATAATAATTGTTTTACACTTAGATTTAACTTTGGGGTCAGACCATCTCCAAAGACATTGAACAATGACGGTGGAAATAAAAACATATTTCAGTTTGCTCACTAACTGAATTTAACAGTATGTATACTCTGACAAGCCATGGGAATGGATCTCTCACAAAAAAGATGGAGAAGTGAAAACATATTTTAGAAGAAATATTTAATCAGGAAACTCTCAAAAATATCAGTGCAAGAGGGAGGTATAGAATCAGAAACTACATAAATCTCTTTATTCCTTTAGCACCAGCTATCATCTATTTTTAAGACATCATTTGTATTCTGTTATGTGTGATATATACTGATGAATCACATTTATTTGTGGACAACCATAACTGATTTGTATGAAAGCTATGAAAACCAACATTTTTTAGTTTAATACACATTTTGCATTTGTACACTTTAAAATTTGCCATGCTATAGAATTATGCAAAATACATACTTTGTGTTTTTTTCCCATGACTGCATGCACTTACACTGTTACATGCTTACTCTGGTAGGCCTACTGTGACATGGAAACTGGTGGAGGAGGTTGGACAGTTATTCAGAGACGTGAAGATGGCAGTGTGGACTTTCACCGGACATGGAAAGAGTACAAGATGGTAAACAATGTTTTATGACATTATCTGAAATCTAATATAATAATGTTACATTAATATCATACTTAGAATGTAAGCAGGTTCTAAAAGTTGTCTTTGTTCTTAGATGTTCATTTAGAAAATGTCATAGTAGTATAAATTGTTTGCCTAAGCAGACTTGTAAGCATAATGTCTGTTTTTAAAGAGAAACCTCACTTTTCTTTAATCAACTGTTCCATGATATGTCCACATTTTTTACGTTACTTATATCTGTCTCTAGTGGCAACAGTAGAAACCGCTCCAAATCTACTAAGTAATATTGATTTACTTTTTCATATACCCAAGTCTGTCTTTGCTGAAATTATCTTTTTTATGGATTTATAACCCTCACACAGTAAAATTCTTAGTCAATAGACTGACAACTATTAAACTTAAAAACTGATAAAGTGATGATTTCAAACTCAAAGAAAAAACAAAACAAAACTATTTAAATATACAACTTGAATTACAGGGATTTGGTGAGCCTGCTGGGGAGTACTGGCTGGGAAATGAGTTTGTTTCTCAACTGACTAATCAGAAGCGTTACGTTCTTAAAATACACCTGAAAGACTGGGAAGGAAATGAGGCATATTCATTGTATGACCACTTCTCCCTAGCAAGTGAAGAACTAAAATACAGGTAAGCAGAAAAATCAGATCTGAATAAAAAAAGATTTGATAATAATAATTCTGGATTGTGCAGATGCATGACCTTACTTCATACAAATTACGATAATTTTTCAGTTCACTCAGAAAATAATGTCTGTTCCATTTTTCACTTATTGCCTAAAACAATCATTTTTTTTCCAGTGGAGAGAATGTGTATTTTACTAGTGCATACTGGGTGAGTGTAATACACAAGATGCACAAAGATGAAGAGATTGTATAGTATTAGACAGGATACCTGTGCTAGTATAGCAGATGGCAGTGCACAGTCTTCAGGGCAATAGGAACCTGTCTGCAGTTGCTATCAAATCCCAATTCCACACAATAAATACACTTTTGGAAGGTGGATGGCTAAGATGAATAATACTGTAAGGAGATTTTCCACTTAAGTCAGTGGCTAATAGGAGCTGTTCTGTTGTCATGAAGAGTACACTGAGGTAATGCTACCTCCTCCTTCTGTGACCAACTGGCTTGGATACTCAAAGAATAACTCTCCTACCTGTGAAAATGAAGTTAAGAGCAGATGTCCAGTCTCACCCACCAACAAACTTGCCAATTTAAACACCAGATTTTAATGGACCTATTACTTATGCTCCCATCATTCTGTAAATCGTAAGGCTTCGCAATTTCTTGTTATGTATTTGGTTAAAATAGGAAATAATATACATTTAAAATAAATACTTTATATATAAATAAATATTATCACAATATTATACATTCTAAATAGTATCATAGTATTATATATTTTGAAATAGTATCAGCCACAGCTGGAATATATGGGCAGTTCATACTTCATTTTCCAAGCTCTCTGTAAATGCAGTAGATATTGTTAGATTGATATAGAAGAAACTAGGGATTCTACAGTGTAACAGATGCTTTCCTACTATACGATCTATGAAATGTTTCTTTATAAGAATCTTACAGATTCATGGAGCTTTAGGTGACTGGACAGAAAAACTGTCTAAATTGAGATTAATTTCTCCGAGATTTCTAGCAACTGTTGTAAAAAAGTCAATCTGATATCTGAAAAAACTGATGCTGTTATTTCAACTCAAGTCTTATATGCAAAGCAATCCAAAACTATCAACATTTTCCCCTCTCAAAATGTTAGATCTTAACGCCTTAGTAGTATACAGTTGTCTCAACTCCAAAGAAAATATTTTTTCATCTGGAAACAGTCAGAACCTACAGCAGAGATTTTTTTAAAGTAATGTTTTAAAATACTTACAAAGGCAACCTTTGCAAAATGGGTCATTACCCTTGTCCATTTACAATATTAAAAAATAATGACTGATAACTAAGATGGTTGTCTGTAAATAGATACTTTATTTTAATATGCAACTAAACATGGAATGCATCTTAAAATGCAGTGGTTTAAAGAATATATTTAACATGAAAAAGAAAAAAACTAAGGAAGTTCAATTAAGAGCATCTTCCATTACATTAAAAATGTTAATAGATTCTGAATGCTGGAAAGATTATGAACTGGGCCGTAAAACTGAAATTTCAGAGATTCATAGAAAAATTAAGATCAGAATGGACTTTGTTTGAGTCAAAACTTACTGATCTCAAAGCTGTGAGGTCAGACCAAGTTTTTCAGGGCTTTATCCAGTTGGGTCTTGATAACCTCCAAAGGTGGAGACTGCACAATCTGTTCCTCTGCTTATCCGTCCTCATGGTGAAAATTTTTTTCCTGATACCCAGGTCAGAACCTCTCATTTCAATTTACATTCACTGCCTCTCATTCTGTGTTATACTAAGCTGTACTTTTAAAAATCAAATAGTAATAAAACAATACTCTGCTTACATTAGACTTCAAATGATATTTGAAAATAAAACCCAGGGTCGTACATTATACTTGGAACCTTTAATACCATTTATGTTAGAAACTGGCTTACAGAATCTTGAACTCACCTTAAAAAACAGAATATTTAACTTTGAAAGAGATTTTTGAGAAAATCTGTAATGAGCTGATCTTCTGAAACTTAAATGAATAAAGATTCATTCATTCCTAATATTTTCAAATAAGGAATAGAAAATGGGTTAGAATAATCTGTAAAACTACCAAAGACGACTTCTGTCACAGGCAGAGAATTACGTCAGATGAAGGCTGATCTGGGGACAAGTTAATTCTCTTCACAGAGTCAGCTCTCCTTAAACAGATAGAATACCTTTGAGAAGGATGAGCTATTTTATACAGAAATGCAATCACCAAAAGAAATACTGTGGGAGCAGAGGGTTCAAGTCCTTCCAATTCAAGGTAGCACAGTAATAGCTGTGTAATCATCTCCCCAGTTCTGTGCCCTGTGTCTCTCCCCACTGAGACTTCATCTGCACCTGTGTAAGGAGATCCAAACAGTAGCAGCCTCACCGAAAGCTTACCTTGCCAGGGAATTGAAGCAAACTTAAATAGCTGTGATGATTTAACACTAATAAGTCCAGGAAGGATGTGAAAAGGAATAGTAATTAGGAAAGTGGAAAGGGAAATTTTGAGAAATTCCTAAAATATCAACTACTAGTTGGTAATTAGTAGTGCATGTAATGCTATTATCTCTCATACATGCAAAATTGTAATGCTACATTACCATGTTGTGCTAACAGCAAAATAGGAATCAAAAACTTTTGGTTTAAACTTTTGTACTTGATTAAAAAAATAATTGCACACAATGTATTTACATTATTAAGAAATGCATGATCTATATGACTTGTTATCTACCTGCTCTTGTTTTCTAATATAACATGAACGAAACAGTCATCTCTACAAATGTGGAGGCTGTTCATTAGAACATTGTGCTGACCATTTCTGCTCATATGAAAACATTATGCTGGAAAACAGCTTACAGTACACTGGCCAGAAAAGAACTCAACAATTTGAACAGGATATTAATTGCAATCTATTCCATCGTTATTTTGCTGATCAACTACCATTAACTTCCACATAATAATTGTTTTTCCATTCCTCACTTCTACAGGATCTACCTTAAAGGACTTACTGGGACAGCAGGCAAAATAAGTAGTATAAGCCAACCAGGAAATGATTTTAGCACAAAGGATGCAGACAATGACAAATGTATTTGCAAATGTTCACAAATGCTAACAGGAGGTAGGAATGTTTTTTTGTTTCTCAGTCTTCCTATTTTTATTGGCACTGAAATTGTCTACGAGATAAATAGTGATAATTTTGACTTAGTAAATTTTGACTATTGAAGCCCAAAACCCAGATAGAAGCACTAGTACAGTAATTTCAAATGAAATATTCTATCATTTGACAGAGGTCAGGTAAAGTAAAACAAGAGAAGTTAAACCTGGAGGGAAAAAGGTCTCTAAACTTGGGGTACAAGGAAGTCTGTAATTGTGGAACTAATCAGGGAGACAGCAGATTGTTCTTTCAAGGAATGAGATAACATTCAGAGATCAAAACACTTAACTCCCCCCAAAAAAACTGCTTCAGAGATTCAGTTAGTGAAATGGCTCCTGATTCTTTAGGTGCAAACCCTTTCCCCAACTATCCAGAGGAGAAGAAAACCCCCAAAAGCTGCTGTATACTGTACATGCCACAGAAGGGTGCAAGTATTTAATTTTTCAATATAATTATGAATTGGCAAAGATATACCACATACATGAGATATCTACATTTTTCTAACAATTATTCACTAGTTATTGGACTTTTAGGTGGTATTTTTACCTTGAACCACACAAGCCGTTCTATCATTTGTCAATCTAGAATTCCCCATTCTGAAATGTAAACAACTGCTTTGTAAATTTGACTTCTCTTATCTCTTAAGCAATGGTTCATTTCCCTATAGCACAAGTTGCAAGACAAAAGACAGCTTCAGTTTATCCAAAAGGATAATTGGACTACTGCCCTGCAAAACAGAACACACACGTTATCGCCATCATAACAGAAGTATAAAAATATTATCTTATTAATAAAAATAAATTTTCCTTTTGACCCACCAACAGGTCAGGACCATAAGGATACAAAATAAGTTTGGGTTGCTGTCTCCTTTTCCTTCTTACCAAGTTTCAGCACAGAGATTTTGAACTGATCTGCATGGAGAACTGAAACAGATAACTGAATTAATTCTCTAAAGAGAATTAAAAAAGAAGTTCAAATCTGTGAAGAACAGGAATTTACCAAAGAGCAGATAAAAACCAAAGGCGACTCAAGTATCATTGCAGTTCACATTAAGTTCTGCCCTCAGACTGTCAGCAATAATGTTTGATATTGATAATAAATTAAGCTTGTTTGAATACCTTCCCTTCTCAATTTTAAACTACAGTGTATTACACAAGCTTCAAGAACATGTAGTTAATACACAAATACATTTCTTTTCTGAGTTGGAGGCCAGTATTTTATACTGACAGTTCCAAATTGTAAGAATGAAAAACTGGGTTTAGATTCTTTCTCGTGTCAGGACAAGAAAATGTTCTTACATACTATTTTGAAAATTACCTCCGCTAATGTCTGTTTTCTGTCTTGCAGGATGGTGGTTTGATGCATGTGGTCCTTCTAACCTCAATGGAATGTATTACCCATTACGGCAGAACAACAACAAGTTCAATGGTATCAAGTGGTACTACTGGAAAGGCTCGGGATACTCTCTCAAAGCCACAACTATGATGATTCGACCAGCAGATTTCTAAGTGATTTTGCATTATGTGAATTACTTATTGTATAGTCTTCAAAGACTTCATTTGCCAAGCATATAAACACACATCTGCAACTTGTGTCATTTTCAAGCCCAGAAAATATGCGCTAGTGTTCTAAAGGGATCAATTCAGTACAATTCCTGAATTGCAATAGCCTTGATCAGCTAAAGCTCATATCATTCAACCATGCACAGTCTAAAGCATCAACGTGATGTAACAGTGATTCGGCCAAACAACTGAATAAAAGAACATCCAAGAAACTGTCAGACAACTTAAAGACTCTGTTTTACTGATCATTTATGTTATGTATGTGTTAGTAAATAACTGGAACTGTGAAAAATACCTAAAATAGTTTTAGAAATAGGCATTTTGCCTCATCACTGAACTTTAAACATTACTCTAATATAAAACACTTAACTAGATCTAGAACTATTTCTTTCTCTGTGTCATGTTTGCCTTTTATGTACATAAAGAATACTGTCTTGTAATTAGCTCAATACTATAGGTTGAGTACATTCTTCCCCCCCATAGTCTTCTAAACAACTTCATACACTTATTCAGGGATTTTTTTCCAGTATTCTGTAGTACATTATTTAACAGAGAACAAATAGCATTTAAGTACTTTGCATTTAGTGTACAAAAATCACCATTTCTTTCAGTTTGTACTTATTACATTCACTATCTTTAAGTTACATAAATCCCTGCAAATTACAATATAGTATGTATTTCTTTATATTTTTATGAAGATTGCACTTTTTTTTTTCATGTCATTTACCTGTAAAATAACTGATCAGTATTTTATAAACTGAGACAACGGCATTAACACCAGATGTCCGGTTGTCTATGACAATCAGTTATCACCTGGTGCTGTAGTACATCTATACTTTTTGTAAAATAACCTAACTGAAAAATATATGCATGTACTTTGATACAATTAAATTTATGCTTATGACTCAAGATACAAATTACTACATTTTAAAAATTGGGGGAAAAAAAAATAAAACTGAAAGTTATCTATGGTCATACTGCTGGGTTCTTTTCAGTAAGGTTAGGACTTCTCCCTAGGAATTCTCCATAGGTAAGTCCTCAGTGTATGCCACAATGTGAATAAATTACTGGGTGATTTTTGCTTTTTAACAAATTTTATTACTATATGGTTTAAAATTGTGTACTGAACACTGCAGTTCAGATTGAGAAGATATTTCTTGATAAATCACACAAAATACTTCTGTGGAGATTTTTCCCCCGATTAGGTTTTAATTCTCATGCTTACTCTTTGCCTTAAAGTAATATTTTTGTAAACTTTTAATTACAGCAGATGACTGAATTAGTTACAAGGTAAGAACATATCTGATACAAAACCAAAACAAAAACCCCAGGCACAACATATTTGGAGGCTTTATTAACAAAAAGGTATTGTATCTTAACAATAGTAAATGATTTTAAGAAAGAGAGAAGAGCAAACTCTTCATTTTATACTGACAGTCATTAAAGCTGCTGTCAGAGTACCCCACCACTATTCTTCACTAAAAATGTGTGTCAGCATTACTAACGGGTAGCAGAGACAAAAAATGCTTCTAATATTACTTCATGATCTGATTTGAAATAAACCTAGTGAATGTAAATTAACAGTCATAATCTGAAGAGTTGCATAAAATAATCTCAATGTATTTAAGATTAGTGTTTAGTATCTTGTTTCTCCGAGAGAACTTGTAAGGATATACATATCCCAAACTAAAAAAAAAAAAAAGAAAAAAAAAAAGAAAAAAAAACTTCACAAAATTACTTTCATTAATTTCTAAGAAATGTCTTAAAAAGCACGTCTAGCAGACAGTCGCCAAGCTAGTAAAGGAGCTAGACATACCAAGAAGCACACAGCTTAACAAGAGAGGCCAAGAAAGCTGGCCTTTTTCAGCCTGGAGAAGAGAAGAGGATGGGGAGACTTTACTGCTGTCTACCACCGCCTGATTGAGGACACAGGGAAGACAGAGCCAGACCCTTTTTGGAGGTGCACCACAGTGGGACAAAGGACAGGGACAAGAGGCACCAAACACAAGATGGAGTTGGGGAAATTGGATTTTCATTTAATTTATTAATTTATTACCACGAGGGTAGACTGGAAAAGTCCCTTGGAGCAGAGCACTGAGCTAGACAACCTTCAGAGGTCCCTTTTAATCTAAAATATTTTATTATTTGAAATATAATAGAAATGTATTTCCTGCTTCACTGCATTTAGCCAGACAACTAAAGAAAATATGCCCAATATCTGAGATAGTAATATCTGGCCCAGTAATGTAAAAAAAGAAAACAAAAAACAAAAACAACAACAGATTCTTAAAAAAAATTCTTAAAAACCACAATGGAATCTGGCACAGGATGAATGCTCAACCTGGCAAAGGAAAATAGTACTAATTGCTGGTTGACATTAACTCTCATTATTTTAGTAAGAAAACACTATATGACAAGAATAATTAAATTGCACGGCTACTGTTGATTTGCTGGAAAAAAGTCTTTACAGCGTGATTGAAGATATTGATGTAGACATTGAACAGAACAATAATTTAGTGACATTGTTAAGTTTTTTTGGAAAATGGAGTAATTTATCAACATCATGTAAAATTTTAGAGTGAATATGTTTTTAAATGACATTTTATCTAAATGAAATAGGATGGCTTAAACTGTAAGCACCAAAGTGAAATGAGAAGAGGACATTTTGGAAGGAATGTAGTAATAGGAAGAAGAAAGCTGCAACAACTGCTTTGGACTTGGTACAAACAGTTAAAACGTAACAGCAAGATAACCCCTTCTTTTAATTCCTTCCTGTAATCAAATAAACAGTATATAAAACTAGAATGCACTTCTATTTTCTCTAAATACATCTTAGGAAATGGAAAAAAATTCCTAGGAAGCAAAAATAATAAGAAAAGAAAGGGAATATAAACACCATTCATGCTCAAATAATAACAGTATCTTTTAAAATAAGATTATCTGTTACAGTAGGAAACCAGAATGACTCAAGAAGAGAATGATTGGAATGGTAATGGAAATATCACCTTGGACACTACTTTGTTCCTCTGCAAGAGGTACACACTACAAACAGAAGTGATTCAGGTTCTCAGCACAACCATAATCTCCCTCAGTTTTATCTTCTCACCATCTCTCAAGCCCTCCTTACTTCTGCTTCAGGAATAAAAACTGCAAACAGCATCTAAAAGACAATCCCAGCAGGAATCTCTTCCAAAGAATGCTATGTACCTTGTTACTGATAGCACACTTGGTTATTAAACAAGGTAGTCTGAGAAGAAACAGAAAACTCAAAGCAGCTTCATCTGAAGCACTGTGTTCTTTTTTTATATACATACAGAGAACGGGGAAAAAAACCCCATTCTTCTTACTTATTTTTCACATTAAGTTTTACCATTCTTAATGTATTTGCTATATAAAAAACTCTACTTCCTCCTTTTAGAAAAAATGCTACATTTTAATGGATGATTAATTTCTTTGGGTTTATTTCAGAATAACTGTTACAGTTTCCCTACACATAGTGAACATACAATTTATAATCATGAAATAAAATCTTAATCTTGAACTTGCAAATTCACATAAATTATAGAACTAGAATGTTAAAAATATGTTCTTAACAGTTAATAAAATTATAGCAAAAATAAAGTTCAAACCCCATTAAATGTTCTTTCTTCAAAGCCCATATGAAACTTTGAGAAATAAGCAGCAGATAATATATTCAACTAGCTGCTACTATACAAGAGAAATTGTGAAACCTTTTTTGGAAAAACTTACAAAGTGATTGACTAGTAACCTGCTAGAATTCTACCTGTTTTAAAACAAAAATAAAATTACTGTTTAATCAATTACAACTCATGGAGTACAGATATACTTGGGTCTGTACAGACATGCCATGCTTCCACATACATACTTTTGCACTAATTCACAATTCAGTACTTGAGAATGATCATTAATGGCAGAAAAAATACTTAATTTCACCTAATTAGTAGTTTTAGAAGCACAGAGTAATTTTCCATTGACAAAGTAATTTCTCTACTGAAAATACTGAGTCTGTGACCTGAATAATCTTTTTGTTAGGTGATAACATGCCTCGCCAGTTTACATACCAGCATAGATAGAAAGAAAATATAACACAAATAAATTAAAGGACATTTATACTTAAATAAGAAGCTAGCTTATATTCAGCTGTTAATTGGTGAATCAATTTTTTGCATTTTCCATGCATTTCTAAGTTTTTGCACGCACTTCAAGAAGTAGTGGATGGAGAAAGTAACTCCTTACAGTATTTCCTTTAAAAAAAATGTTTTTTCTGGTAGGCTTTCCTGTTCACAAGACCTATATAAAGGGCCAATCATTTTCCAGATAAACAAAAGAAAGTTCACAAGCTTAAAGGGCCATTAAACTTACAGGAGCTGCAGGGAAGCTGGATGCAAGCTCATATGGTTCCTCTGAGATCCAGTGGCCCAATTCCAAAGACGACAGAACCTAAAATAAATTAAGCAGTAAGTAGAACTCTTAAAATTTTTAAACTAGCAAACTCTGAGTGTGTAATTAGAAGTAACTGCAGTTGCAATAGTTGGTTTGATACTTCATTTACCTAAACCAAATGATTCACTGAAAAAGCAAGCAATCAGAAAGATACAAATTTTATAACTGAAACAAACCATTAAAATACCAAAGTCATATTTCTATGCATTGCTATGTTAAATTTTAAAACTTTGTGAGGATATTAGAAAAGTCAACTTTTTGCATCACGATACATAAAATTAGAGCAAAAATTATGTCACATGTCAGTTCTGTTCTCTTGGTTCAGTTATTCATTAAACTTCATGAGGTTCCTGTTGGTCCATTTCTCTAGCCTGTCAAGGTCTCTCTGAATGGGAACACCCAGCTGGAGTATCAAACACTCCTCACAGTTTTGTAACATCTACAAATTTAGTGAGGGTGCACTCTTCCCCATCATCCAGATTATAAATGAAGATGATAAACAATATTGGACCAGTATCAACCCCTACTACTGACTGGGATTATGCAACTACTGTATATAATTCACATTACATATATAAATCAGACTGCAAAGAAGGAAAGACTCCTCAGTATCCTCCTCTGTCAATGTCACACTCTAGAGCACTAAAAAAGGTTGCTAACAGTGAAATACTGACTGGAAAATAATGATCATTTGTGCTCACTCAATTGAGCTCTGAAACACTGGATCAATATGATCCTTGGAGACTAGCAATCCTAACAGTTTGGACTACTTTGACTTCTGTTCCCATCAGGGCCATCACAAAATGGTTAACAGAAAAAAACCTACTTGAAATAGTTATATTTTCAATTACTGAAATACATTATTTTTTATTTTGTGTGTGTGTGTGTAAAATTTTCCCAAAACTACTCCATCCTTCATTCTTCTTGGGTTGATTTTCTAAACAATTCTTAGAAACAATTTAGCATTGTGAGTTGCAGCTGGTAGACTATAGTAATAAAAGCCTCACAAGGAGTGTTCAAAGACTATCCCTGAAGTGATAAAAGTGTTGTCTTTATGCGAAAATGGAAAAAGACTAAAGTTCCTACCATAGCTCTGCCCTTGAGTTGTATGAGGGACTTTTTCCTACTAACGTCTAGATAGTCTAAATCCTGAAGCACACTCTGATGGAAGAGTTTATTTTCCTCATTGGCTTCAACAATGTGAGCTGTGCCATAAAGCTTCTCATATAAGTAAAAGACTGGTAAATTCTTTGCCAAGTTTGTCCACCGTCACACAATTCAACACCTTTCCCTGTTTGCACTTATTTGAGCTTTGCAACATCCTTCCTGTAGTTGCCATTTGGCATGCCTTAAATACGAGTCAAAAAAACCCCCATTGTTACCCACTAGTGAGAGACAGCACAACTCATATGTGGAACCTTAGAAACCACAGCAACTCCCCCAATACCCTACTGCTCCTACAGCAACAGGTAGTATTAAGTGAACAAGAAGTGTACATATACACCCAAAATGGGATATATGGAATTTATTAGTAAGTAAATCCCTGTGTATAGGACAGTTCTACCTCTGGCTGTCACAGTTTCCCTAAATAGTTCTCTAGCCATTTCAAATAGATGATGTCTGTTTCTTACTGTTAGCACAGCCATGCATCATTAAAGTGTTGTCATTATTCACCTTAAAACAAGCTGAATTTCATCAGTGCATGAAATTATTCCCATGCTTGATTCACAATTAAGTGAAATATTCTGTATTTTTTTATTCTTTTGGAAGATGCCATACAAATCCATATATTACTAGTTGTAATCCATATTGTACTAGTTGTAATTTAAATTACAAAATTTTACATCATAAAATATGGGAAGCAGTGCTATGAAAAGTTCCCCTTAGACAAAAATTGGCATAATAGATACCAAGCATCATAAAGTTATCCTTTACAATGTTACAGCTCACTAAACAAGATTCTAAGCTGAACAGACTGATTATAAACTAGTAATGCAAATCTTATAAAATGGCCTAATTGTATGTGGCAAAACAACTTTCTGTGAAGGGATTTTTTGCCCCAAATCTGTTGCTACAAGAAGCAAATTGCAAATTGAATTTAGAAAGTAATTTTGATATCAAAACCAAGTTCTATAGTCTTTAGTCCAAAGTAGCTTATGCTTGACGACTTTCCCTGGAACCAGCAACCTCTAAAATGAACTGCTACAAAAGCTGATGCCTTGTGAGATGTGGCAAGTGATATTTTACTTGTGAGGGCAGGTGTACGATTTTGCAGGCTATTGGAAGTGAACAGTGATCTTTTGTTGATAATGAAAAACAGCACATCTTCAATCTTGTTGAACTTTATTACAAAAATCCAAAGAATATTATGTTTAGTTTTAGAAAATGCACAACCAAATATTTGAAATTGCAACAGCTGTACAAAAAGAGAAAATAATTTTTACAGTCATTATATCATGCCAAACTTAAGAATGAGAGTTAAATACATTAATAAATCAAAGACCTTTACAAAAAATATTTAAAACCTAATAAAGTATTTCCATGTTTAGCCAAGAAAAGTATAGTAGCTTCTTAAAAACATACAGCTAAGACTGCAACTTAGGATTTTAAGTTATAAATTTTAAGGTGGTACATGTATATATTTTTTACAATTACTTTTTACAATTTCCAATAAGAATATTGAAATCTATTAGCTTTATACTTATAGCTGTATGTATTTATTGCAAATAAAAGAAACGTGTTAATCTAAGCCATTTATCTTTTAATCGCAGTATAAATCAACTTTAACTGAACCAAGAAAATCGTAAATTCTAATAAAATTCCTAGAGACATGCTGCATGAAAATAATTCATTTGTAAATAATCTTAAGCAGGAACAGATGTACCATGCTGTATGTGTACATCATGTCCTTATAGGACCAAAACGATGTTTGTACCAAAAGTAACTGGCAAACAACCCAAACAGATTAAAACATAAACCTAAAAGATTAGTTATGATTAAGTAATCCCATTTCATTTTCCAGGCCAATTTTACAGTAACAACCTCTATTAATCCTTGTAGTATTTATAGAATTTTGTTTAGAAATTAATTTTGTTTATCTTAACAAAAGATGGATTAATGCTTGACTATCATGGTTCTGGAAATGAGTACAAAGGCATCGTATCTACTTTCCTAGATAAAAGGAAAATTAGATACAGAGTTCATGAACAGGTCCTGCAGTAAATAATTTGGTCACCACTCAGTAAAACATTCAGTTTTCATGAACACAAAAGCAAGACTTCTCCATTCTAAGTCACTGGAAGTTTGCTTCTGACTTTGGCAGAGACAAATTTTCAACCAGTATATTCTCATAGCAACATTAAAAAAAAAATCATGTAGGACAAAAACAAGTTATGATTTGCAATATTATTCTTGAGTAAACTGCTTTTTCTTGTTAAGTCAGTAATATCTTCATATTCAACAGTTCCTTACAATGTGGAAAAAGAGAGAGAAAAGCTGAAATACTTCAGAATATGAAAGTTTCTATACAGAGATGAAAGAGCTATCTGGAAGTTTTCAAATGTGCAGTTACAAAAGATTTAGCTTGAAATGTAATGAAAAAGCAATACAGCATGGATCAGGCATGAATGCTGGATATGGAAGTATCAGAAGTTAGGAAAATACAGCTGATAACATTGAGATATTAAGAATGTATCAGATTCTGGTAGAATGCAGTCTTGGTGGTCATGGAGGACCCAAGAAAGGAGGAAATAGAGAGGGAAGAGGAGAGTAGGAAAAGCATACTTTTTCTGTGGACTTTTTACAACCTTAAATAATGTTTTAATTTGGCTTTGGGCTCTAGAAACAAGTTGATCAATCTTCTGTTACTTTATCCTCAAGTATGGACTATTTTATCTAATTCAGTAGCAGGCAACCTGTATGGCATGGAACTCCAAGTGCCCTGCAGGTTATACAGCTATAAGTCATCTCCTTGATGCAGTTTTCCTTTCAATATCCATATTAGCTATGTTCTTTTATTCGCACTATACAGGAAAATTTATGTCAAACATCAAGTTCTCAGGGGTCTGAAAACACAGTTTCTCTAGTCATGATTTCAGGCCTCTTACCCATCCAGCCAGCACACTGAATGATCATATGGTATTTGTACTTAAACAACTCATCTTGAAACATGCAAACGGAGTGCTATGAAGATTAAATATTTAATGGTAAATTTTATATTTCTCTAACATTCATGTTTAAAAGATCATTTTATGTTTTTTCTCAGAAGAAAAAAAAATACTGCAGTCTAAATTATCTCTCCATGTTACAAGTTAAAATACATAGGTAAATAATATTTCAGCTTCTTAAAATGTCGAGAAACATCTTCCAAAAGACAATCACCACTGTCTAAAATTAATACCTTGTTTAAAAGGTACTACTGATTTCTCCAGACTGATTGATTACTTTAACTATCCATTCTGACATATTTTACCAATTAGAGTAGTTATGGTAGGATTGACTACAGTATCGAAAGGCATTTATAGGATTCAGTATTGTAGCATTAATAAAAGGAAAAGATTATTTTGGTTAAATGAAATTCTCCTGATTAATTTTCTACAGAATTCCTCCTGATGGTTAAGTAAAGCTTCAGCTTTCTGTCTTATCTAATGAAAGTATTCATTTAATGAATTTGGGTAGGAAGACGGCAAACTTATGCCAGTGACACAATTAGAAATAAGACAATAATGCTGTAATGTGATAAGATCCATAGATTTAACCAGATTAATAAATATTTTTTTTAAAAGTTCAAAGCAATATTTTCTTTCAATGAAATAAATGAGTCAATTACTTGAGGGATTAGACATTTATAGACAAAGTTGCACCCAGCTAGCCTCAATGAAAGATTTAAGTACAGTTCTAAAAAAAATTAAAAACTGCAGTATTCATAGATAAGTAGATACTGTAAAACTGAACAAACTTGTGATTTGGAGAACTGAATTCTGAAGGTTTTCTCTAGTTCCTACTCATGCAGCTCTCATAGTAACTTTAGAACTTTTGTCTAAAGAGCAGCTCAATAAAATGAGTGAAGATAGCTTCAGCATTTCATCCAACAATGTTTATAAGGACAAATTAATCCTTGGAACAATTCCATTTAACTTATTGGCTTTAGATGAGGGATATAGATGATCCTGTGATGAGTCTAAATGGTAGACTGTGAGCAGGAGAAAATGTGGCATTGCTGTTACTCAATACTGGTCTATGAAGAGCATGTGTTGATGCTTTCACCATGCATTGGTTCTCAGAAGTGCAGTGCATAAAATGGGCAATGAAATTTCAGGACAGCAATTGCTAGAATACCTATTATCCAAATATTGCCTAATGTATAAAGATAGGAAACTATTTTACTGGATTTTTGTAGTACTTATGTACATCTTTAGCTGTCTTAGTAGTTATTTGATGCTATTTCTCAAGAAAATACACAGTTTTAATGTTTGACTACCCTGTTATGAGAAAGTAACTTACAACAAATATGTTGTTACTTGTTTAAAACTCCATACACAGCTAAGCCTGGGACACATGTTTCAATGTATCTCATACATAGTTGAGACTGCAATTGACCTGTGGAGACTGTCTTGTCCAAACCCACTGCTCAAATACCTTCCTCTTCATGTAGCCAAGGATGCTATTGGACTTTTTCTGCCAGAAAGGCACATTACTGGATAGTTAAGGTGACCAGATGCAAACCCCTTTACTCTAATCACCAAGAACTCCTGGAAATCCCAAAGTATACCATAGCAGCTTTTTCAGATAACTATGTATCACATAGGACAAACTTCACACTGGTGAGTGCTAAACATCTTGAAAACCAAAAGGCAACAGGAGTTTATTTTCTTTTCAGCCCAATATCTAAATTTTACAGTATTTATATGAAAAAGGAAATCAAGAAATTTATTCTACAGTCCTTTTCTGTATAAGATGAAGAGCTGTTTCCATATAAATTCCAACAGCTATGTTTTATAGCTCTGGAAATATACGGCAAGCTGAAAATCTGTCATCTGCAATGTCAGATTGTGTGGTTAATCTGTTTTAAAACAGTGAGCAATTGAGGTGGTTTAACCCTGGGTTGACAGGTAAGCTCCATACCTGGTCACTGTTCACTCCCAGCCCCAGCAGGATGGGGAAGAGAACTGGAAGGGTAAAAGCAAGAATAAAACGAACACCAAACAAAAAAACCCACCCAAAACCAAAAACCAACTTGTGGGTTAAGATGAAGACAGTTAATAAGTAAGGGGGAAAAAAGTTAAAAAACCACAAGTGATGTAAAAATAATCATTCCCACCAGCAGATCAATGCCCAGCCAGTCTACAAGCAATGGCTGCTTTGGAAAAACTCCTACCCAGTTTTATATCTGAGCGTGATGTCATACAGTATGGAAAAATCTCTTTGATTAGTTGGGGTCCACTGTCTCAGCTGAGTCCCCTCACAACTCCTTGTTTGCCCCCAGCCACTCGCTGGAGGGGGCAGCGTGAGAAACAGAGTACACCCTGACACTCTGTAAGCACTTCTCAGCAATAGGTAAAACATCGGTGTGTTAACAACACTGGTCTTGGTCATCAGTCTAAAACACTGCACCACACAGGCTTCAATGAAGAAAATTAAGTCCATACCACCCCGACCCACTACAGCAAGTTATGATTATCTTGTCTTTACAGCAACAGCCTGATAACTGTACATAGCAGTCTACATGAAATTTTGAGGATATACAGTGATTATTTGATGTGGATGCCTAGGAACCATTTCTGTAAGTTACAAAGTCTCCAAACTACTCATCTACAAACACTTTTCCTTAATTTGTTTCCTATTTTACAGTTTTTCCATTACATAGCAAAACATCTAATAATTCTCTTTCATTTTTACCAATGCTGAACAAAATACATGTTTCAGAACACAACAGAAATATATTAGATCAGTACATAAAAAATTCAAGTTACATGAGTTTCTCATCCGTGAGATTAGACTTCAGGCATTTCTAAAATGCAAACTGAGGTACAATTCAGTACTTCATCTAACCAAAGTATTCATGTAAGACACTAAGTCATGGTAACAGAGCTACACTCAGACAAATTTCCTCTAATTGATCTAACTCTGGGAAACCTTGAATATCTGAACATTGCGCCACTGTATATAGCACGGACACAAACACGGTTATATGGTTGGTATTTCATCTATACAAAATAAGTTTCATTTATTCCTTAGTAAAATTAAAAAATATTTCTTACCCATTCATAAGAAACAATCCAACACCCGCGAGCAATTCCCAGCATAACATTTAAGGTACGACGAGGATTCCCTGTAACTACATGACTTGTTGTTTCACATACATCATCTGAGAACAAAAAGTCTCCAAGTTTATTCACCACCTGAATTACTGTATCTTGCTTCCTAAAAAGAAGGAAAAAAAGACCCGTACAATGTTGAATGGATATGCAGAATTATAAAAGTATATACACACAACTCAAACTCACCTTATTTCTTTCCTCACTAATAATTTCTTATCCTTTTCTCACTGAGCTTCTACTCATTTGCTAGCCCTAAATTCCACAGAGTCCCAACAAACCCTTTTCTGTCATCACACAATGCAATCTACTTGCAAATCAAAGCTCTTTTCTCCCCCACATCTATCCTGTCTGTTTAAACAGAAGCTTTTGAGTCAGGAATTATCTAACATTGTTTGTGTACAACGCCTAGTGGAACAGAGCCTCATTCTTGGTTGCTTTTGTGGTACTATCAGAAAAGTATTACCAGGAAATGTAAACATTTAGACACAGCACTCTTAAGAGGTTTTCATTAGAAAGCACCAGATTTGCAGCATCTGAATAAATTGCTGTCTAAATTTAGAGAGAAGTCCTAAAGTTCTGTATTCCTACCTATAGGTATAGGAAGGAATACCTATACATCTGAGCCAATTTTTCAGTTAAAAATTCACTTATCCTTAAATACAATTAAAATTAAATATAAAATCCAGAATAGCCACATATAACTGGAATTCTAATTTGAGTTCTCTACATACCTATGCTGAGGCACATAAAATTGTGAAAAGAGTGAGATCTTGGTATCATTAGAGAAAAGCTGTTGCATGAGAACAATTTACTGTTCTTATTAATGATTATTTTTAAAAATAATTATTATAAATTATCATTAAAGATCTGTAAATTAAAGCCCAGTTCCAGTGCCCTCTCTGCTCCCCCCAGCTGACTTGGAAATGTCCATGGCATGCTACACAAGATAAAACAATTGAGCACAACCTTGAACACATCTATCACAGTGGTGATCCTCTCAGTTAAAAAATTTAAGTTAATCACTGACATAATGCAAGCACAGTCAGAACATCTCCAGAAGCCTCTGGGGTTACTTAATTCTCACTACATTTCACTCCAAAGAAAGTAATGCAGTTAAAACTCAAAAAATACCCCAGTTAAAACAAACACTACTTAGAGGAACTCTTAACAAAACTTCAAAAAATTCTTCACAGAGAATGCAGCAATCTTATTTTTAAGAAGTTTCAAATAAATAAATGAATAGTAAAAAGTGTAGCAAATTAACTTCATACTTAAGTCAAAAGGTGATATTGTATGTGGAGACACTGGAAAAAAAAAAAAAAAATCAAACCACTGACCCTTACTCCAGTGTGAATTCTGGCCTTGGCTACATGGCTTTGAATGCTACTAGAATATTTACTATTCCCTTTTGATTTTATGAATTTTAACTTGACATAGCCTACAAGCAAATGTTTTTGCAACACTGCAAACCACAGGAGATGGCCCTCCCTAGACTGCATGCTCAGGGGATGCATTTTCATGCCCTACCTGAATCTTTTTCTTAGTTCTTTCTTGTGTCTACACAAATTCCTTACAAGAGGAAAAAGTCCTCTCATACAAGAATTGAACCTAAGATATCTTATAAACTACAGTGAAAACTCACCAGTTTATACTTCAGTCAGCTGCAAAAACTGACATGCAAATTTACAGCAAAATTTCACTGAATCTGTGATTCAGGAAAAACACGTAGCTGCTGGCTGTGAATCAGTGAGCAGCATTTAAGATAATCTCAAAACCTGGTGCCATGAAACAACTGAACTCATGATCTTTAGAATTTAAATTCTAATGAACCACTTTTGAGGCTGTAGCTACTGGGTGGTAGAATTGGCTTTGGCCATTGGGCTGTACTTTGGAGGACTGTTTTCTGTTCTTTAATTCTTTCAGAAGCAGTCCCTTTACCTTCACCCATTTACAGGCTGATGAATGCCTACAACTGTAGACAGTCAAAGGCACAATCTTGATGAAGAAGTTCTGAAGAAAAGCAATTGTTAACACCAGACATTTTTATTTAATGAAATATTAATTGGCTAGTGGGAAAAAACAACATACAAGCAAGATAAAAGAAATAATATATTAATGACCTCTTTCAACAAAAGGACATTTTCCTTAGCTCTGACAGGATTTTTCCTCTTTTAGGCTGATCATAGCCTGTTTTCTGCTACTTCTATCTGCACTGTAGGTATTATCTTTACCTCCCACACAGTGATCCTGTATTTCATGACTTGCAAAGTGCATTTTATAGTCTTGTTGTTACTAACATCCAGTCACATTAAATGCAAAAAAGTATTAACTTCATTTTATGTTTCTGACATATATTAGTACACTTGTTAATAGCTATTGACAACCATTTATAAATAACTTCTAAGTGGATAGCCACTAAGTGCCATTTCTGAGTACTTATATCTGTGTAACTGTCAAGATTTAATTACTTCAAACCTGAAACAGATTTGTGGGTAGCAGAAATATCCTGACTTTTGAAAAAGAATTCAAAAAAACTGCAAGCAAGTTTAGTATAAAATATGAAATTGTGTTTTTGTTGGATGTTCTTTATGCTGTAAGACTTTTAAGAGAATGATAAGAGCATGCCAGAAAATTATTAACTCTCCCCCAAAGTATGCAGTGGCAGCTGCTTCTAATGTTTTGAAACTAAGTGGCTAAAAAGCCCACAACTGATATTTCTTCAGCAACTATTCATATGAAAGAAAACATTTTGAACTGATGTTTCACATTATGACATTTTAAATAGAAATAAAGAAAATGTATGGGAAAAAAGCTAAGTCTTGGTATGGTAGTCTGAACCATTTACTACATAAAATTCCTTTTTATGCTTCCTTCAGAAAAATTAAAAACTTACTTAAGACTTTAGTTTCATTGCTCTGAAGACCTGTTGAGCTCACCTATGGAACTACTTCAGCCTGCACCATAGCAACACAAACATACACAAACACTATAGATACCAATGACATATACATGTACGTATGTGTTTCTAGCTAGAATACAGAATGAAGTATTTTAGCATACGGCCCAAATATTAATTTAATTTTGTGTAAGCATAAAAAGATCATCAGCATTAAAGTTTAAACTGTGTGCTGACTAAAGAGTCAAAATGGTAATACTTACTCATAAGACATACTTGTCATAACCAGTGTTCTTGTTGGCTAGAGATGTGAGGAAGACAAGAGAACGACAAAAATCAGAAAAAAATTCCCCTTTGGAAAAAACCCTTAAATTAGAAACTGTTCTATTAAAAGGACATAATTATAGTATCACCTGGGGAAGAGGCTGTGCTAATTAACACATACACTTTGAGGACAAGGAAGGAAGGAAACCTCTTCATGATGTCTGGTATCAAAGCATCCAATATAGCCGAAGACTTGAATTTAAGTTTTCATTAGTAAAAACAAAAAGCAAAGGATTTACAGTCTGGGATGCCACAGAAAAAAAGGACAGTAACTGTCTTCTGTCTTTCCCTTCTGATCAGGTGGAAAGGAAAAGGCAGCTTACCTTCAACAAAAAAAGCCTGTAATTTAAAATTATTTCATTTTCTTCCAAAAGAATAGGCAGAAACTGGCTGAGATGCTGCAGAAACAATAGTATATTTATTGTAAAGTGTAATTTTAATAATTTTATTTTGTTAACATAGCTTTTGGGGTTTTTTTCCTGGCATAACTTCAATATTTTCAGTCCAGGTTTTAAAGTAAACATTCTTTCACTCCTAAATATTGTATAGAAAATAAATGTTGTCTCAGTAATATAACATATAAGCTATACTCAGAGTACAGCAATCCTTAAACCAGCAATTCTAAGACACCTTAAAAAGCACCCCCTCCCTTCTGCTGCAATATCACCCTATAGCTTATGTGCAAAGTAGGAGTGTTTGCCCCACACAGACTTTAAATAAGCTTGTTAAGCATTAGTATTATAGAAGGCAGAAGAGGAAGGAGTATCATTTGTTCATCAGCAATGACCATGAAAGCTTCCACAGTGCACAAAGGTAGGTAGGACAGAACATGAGTTTTAGCAGTATCAGAGAAATACCTAAGTGAATATAACTGATGGTCATCAAAAATATACGCAAGAAGAGGTTTTGAAAATCTTATCTAAGAATTACTTGTAGCTACATAAACATGAACAAGGATGTAAATAGAAACATTTTAATTTTGTAGGAAAAATATATCAACTGACTGGTACAAAACAACTCTACCTAAATTTCAAAATCAATATATGAATTTCACATTATTTCTCTAGATAACTACTGTTTCATAAGAAATAATCATTCCCATTTCTGCCCTCTCAATATATTACCACAACCACAAACAGTAAGCTCCCAGTCTTGCTAAAACTCAGTTTCCTTTGAGTAATGTACTGAGCTGAGACCACAAAAATATTTTGAATTGGATTACAGCTGGTAGCACGGGCCAAAAAAGACTTGAGAACAACTCATTTTACCCAATAATGAATCACAGAGCAGGAGAGAGAACATACTCTGATGTAACTCCATCTGTCCTCTCTTATCAGTACAGAACTGTTCTCCATTAAGTGTTCAAGCAATTTGTCACATTTAAGAATGGAGTTCCTTGGAATTATCTCTGTAGACTAATAGACTGTAGGCTAATAATGTGCACCACAACTGTTCATTATATGAACAATCTTTGCATAAATAAAATACAATTTAGATACCACTGGCAAGCTAGATATTAAAGATAACATAAGTAGTAGTCTTTTCAACACACCCATGATAATTTCATTCTGTGTTTGGATGAATTTTAAAAAATATAAACCCCAGATACTATTTATGTCTTCAGAAGCAACATGTAGCATATTCAGTAATTTTTTTAATTCATGATAAGCATGCACCCAGACAACATTATGTAAGCTATACAATACTTCAGAACTGAAAATATATACAATGTGAAAATCTAAAACAATCAATAATAGAATGAAATAAAGCTTCAACTGAGGAAAGGATGAAACTTTTATATTGAAATAATTATTGGAGAGAAATTATATGAGTATTTTTGGAAACGTAAGTTTCCAGTTACTAACTTGTTGCCTGCAATACTTATTGGTGATGCCTTAGCCTACTGGTAGCCTGACAGTTGAAGAGAAGATAATATACATTTATCTGTAATCAAAATTTGTTGTATTCTTAGTCCAGAGACTTTGTACTGCATTACTTTCCACTCCAAATAAACAGTCACATTTTATTGCTCTTGGAAGCTCCAAGAATTTCACAGTTTCAATTCCACATTTGACTTTTATACTCAAAGAATTTGAGCAAAAATAGTAACAATGCAACAATATATATTAAATATATCTATCATAACATTAACATAATTAATATTAAATAATATAACTTCAAAATTTTGAGTATATACATCAAAATTACCACACAAAAGACCACAAAAAAGAATTGCACTAGCTTCTTGGGGCCCTTGTATAGTACTGGTTCTAAAGTCAGAACCTGCTGTGCCTGTTCAGAATGTGCAGAAAAATACCCATCCTTACAACTTTTTATAAATGAAATGTCATGGAAGTATTATTAATCTGACCACTGCTTTTGCCAAATTTGTGTTAAAAAAAAGCATTATTATAAAGCAAGGCCAGAGCAGCTTGAGATCCTACAGCTGGCTTCTTCATCTTCAGTCCAGAAATGTTTGTTAACAGTTCCTTAATACGTTATCTATAAGGAAGTGAAAATACTGGATCCACACAAATTAGGAATCCTGCAGCCTGTCCCGACATTACTGTGTAAAGTCAGCTTTTGAACAGTAGGTTTTATGCTACAAAACATAGCATATAAGACGGTACAGAGAGTATTTTGGGCAAATGTTCTGTCAGTGCAGCTCAAAGCAATTCAGACTCAAGAATGCAGAAGGATGCATACAAAAGGTAAAAATTAATTTAATTTCTCCCATACTATTATTTCATCTTCATTTAGAATTGCATATTTTTGCAAGTTAGAGGTCATTTGCTAAGCAGATAACATTTTGTTTTATTGCTTCAGTAAGACAAGCAGTCCTCTTCAATTATAGTTACCAAGCAGAAAACTTAGCCAAACTATGTTTTAATTTTCAGTTGTACATTTTTCAAGTTAATTGCTTTCCCCCCCTACTCTTGCTATGAAATTTTTCTTCCATGCTCTTTGTGTCTGTTTTATTTTACATGTTGCTTTTATTGCAAAAAAAAATTCGAGTTAGCATTTTCTTTTCTGACCAGCAAAAAGACATCTGCTGAGCAATGTTATGAGTTCTAACGCACATTTGTAGCAGGATTATTAATAAAACACTGGAAAAGGTAGTGTTAACTGGCCCTTTTATTTATCATTAATCTCTGAATCCTGAAGAGTTGCATATCTGTACTCTGAATCAGAACACACTTCCTTCTGAATTACTTTTTAGATCTGGAATACAGGGTGTATTATAAACTACATGTTTCAGCTTTCCTTTATGTATTTCTTAGGAGCACAGTTGCATTAAGTATTTCTTTACAGTGTGCCAACAACAAGATTTTTCTAAGTCATCTGTAATATAAAACATACGTTTCAGTGGCGCATAGGAAATAGTATTTGTAAATCTTCCCAGTACTCAAAATACAATGTGATACTTCCTGTATGTTAACTGACCTATACCACAAAAGAGGCATCCAACCTCAAAATGTATTCTAATTTGAGCAGGTGTTTACTGGAGCTGAAGGACAGTAAGAGAAAAGTCCCTTTTTGTACAACCTGCTTTTCAAGAAAGTGAACTCAAATTCTGTTTCCTTAAGAATGTCATGAGTTGCTTTTCATAAGTGACAAATGAATTAAAATGTGACCATAAAATATGTTTTTCCAGGCCAGTTCTCAAAAATAAAGTGCATTCACACTGAGAATTGACTTGATAGGAATAGTTACACATTTGTGACTGGTTAAATTCCAGACTAAGTACATTAGAACTCATTTTGTCTTTGGGTCAAGAACCCAGGCCTCATATTTTTCAAGAAAGCATTTCAACAAATAAACACCACTTGAATTTCATATTACTTACAAATACTCCCCTTAAGCCTTAAAGTTGACTAATTTCTGAAAGAAATAAGCTTCAGTCTACTCAAACTCAGATGCATGCTGTGACAGAGTAAAAAAAGACCTTTACCTTCAGGACTCAACAAGATACTTACCCTATGTGGTTTGGCCAATATACCAGGGATAAAGGTCTTTTTTGGGGGCGAGAGGGAGGCAGGGGAAAGTAGTGCATGCATGTGCAAATAAAGAGTAAGGGAGAGTACAAGATTATTATGCTACCTGTTTTGTACTCTTCCAATCCCTTTTTCCTCTGGCTATTGTAGGTCCATCAGATGATTCTGAAATTGGTTCGGAACTCGTATATTCAGTTTTGATATTTACTGCTGTATTTCAGATGTAATAATCTTCAGTCCTACTAGTACATGAGCCAAAAACCAGAGCAATGTGCAGCGCGGGGATATTCAAGAATCAGGTTAATTGCATTCTGCTTTTATCTAGGAAGGTTGTATTGAGGATCCAAAACTTTAAGGCTGTTTTTGGAAACAATCTATAAATTGTTCTACATTAATTTATTCTATTCGAGTAATTGTGGCTCATAGATTAAAATAATTGGTAAATGTAATGAACGATTACTATTCAGTAGTTTTAAAGAGCAATTACTCAAAACTGTAATTTACTTTCTGGCTGGCCTTTCTCCACTTATCAGTCCTTTGATACTGATAATTTTCCAGTTTCCTCTGGCTGCAAACTCAATTTTGGCTGTAATTTCCTGACCAAACATAGTACCTCTGCTTTGGTCCTAGAAAGATGAGAAAAATGCACCCATCCTAACTAAATCGATACTACCATGGGGAAAGATAAAAAAACAAAGCAGGCTGTAAGAAGACAGAAAAATTAGATGACATGACTGGTGCCTGGGCATTGGTTTTCTTTCACTGACAAAGATGAGAGAAAATGAGATATCCTGTAATCACAGGTGTAGAAACCCATAGAACTTTTCTTGGCAAGATTAAGGATGTTGAATAGCTTCAGACTTTTCAGACTAGCAGTGTCACAGTTTACAACCTATTAATATTTTCAGTTTTCCACATGCAACAATAATAGCTAACAACTACATTTAAAAAAAATAAAAATCAACAATGTGGGACACAAAAC